ACATAATATATGCAAAAATATTGTTTAAGGAGAACTATAAATATAATTTTTATATCAGATATTCATAAGCAGCAATAATATTAAATCGCTTATCAATTTAATTTGGATTATTACGTATTCCCGTTTTAATCTAGGAATGTGTTTCAAGGCCAACAAATAATTGCAGTTTATTTAAAATTGGGAATTGTAAAATTTACACAAAAATATTATGAATTGCTCTGTTAGATTCGTTTCGACCAAATAAGTTATCTATTTGTATTGAATAAAATCGTTATATGTATATTATTAACATTATAACAATAACTAAAAAAATAAAGTTTCTAATCGTAATTGTTTTACTATGCAATATATATTATAATCATAAATATATACAAAATATTTATTTCTCAGTGTGCATTTTTGCACTATATTCTCTCTTTATTTTCTCTTTCTCTCTCCCTCTGTTCTTCTTATTTAACTTTCGATTCTAAGTAATGCAATCAGACTGGAAAAAAAAACACTTCTGTTGAAAAATTTCAACTCACCTTTCATCTGCGATTTCGATATAGGCGTCTTGCTAGATGAAGAATGGCTCGCCGACGATCGTTTCGGTGAAGCCGGCAGGGACAAGAGAACATTCGTAGAGAGCGGGGTTCTAACAGGCTCGTCGAGGATGGACGACGAGGACGCGGCCATGTCCGTCGACCGCGTCAGGGATAATTCTTGCGGTTCCTGCTGCAGTTGCCATAGTCGCCGGCGTTGCAGATTCGTTGGGACGTCGGCGGCGGAGCACGATTCCGCGGAAACGTAGATCGGCTGCATCGGTAGTGCAGACGTTGTCACGGCCATCGTCATCGACGCCCGCGGGGTGCAGTCCAAAGGGCTGGTGCTCTCATGTCCCTCCGCGCCGTTTCCTACCGCGCCGCTGCTCTGTCTTGTCTGCAAGTAATCGCGGCCTGAAATGCATCTCTCCCGTTCGTCCCGACAAGTTTGAACCGGTCAATACGAATTATTTAGACTTTTGTTTATTATATAGCTTTTTTTCAAACAAAAGCAATGAAACGAGTTTAAGATTGAATCGTCGCACGCGAAGTGTTGTAAAAACGTTTTTAGAATGAAGAGAATGTCTCATAAATACTCTCCTGAACATAACCGAGTTTATACACGTCAAAATGATAACTCAGTAAAGTATACATTTATTGTAATCTGCTATAATCAATGTATTATATATATATATATTTACTATATATTAACTAGTAAGTGTATACATTTACTAAAGTTAACACTTTTACATGACACTGGGACATAACATACACTGAGAAAAAAATTTTTGGTATTTGTGATTATAATTATATTTTTGAAATTTGTGACTTTAATTACATATACATTTGTATATTGTATATTGTTACCATAACTATAATTGTTATGTTATTAATAATTTTAGCAATATAAGTATACATATAATTGTTATTAATGATATTTAAAAAAAGCGATAATAGTAATAATTATGGTAACATATAATTATAAATGTAATTATAAATATCACAAATGTATATTTTTCTTTCAGAGTATGAGCTTCTCAGAAATAGATTGATCAACTCTATAAAATAAAAATTAGAAAGAATATTAAAAATTATGTACTGATCATGTGTTCTAGTACTAAAAATAAGAAACTTACGAGAGTGAAGCTGATCAGTTTAGTTAGTTTTTCTGAGAGATCCACATATCAGAGAGAATTAAAGGAAAACGAGAGATTTTCCTTTTATAAAATTCTTGACTTTTTACCAACCGCGCGTGATTTTTCAAAGTAGCTCTTCTAAGTCTTTGTTTTTTCAGCAAACATCTCTCTGCGTACGATACATTATCTTATACTAACATTTGACAAGCTTGATATAAAATTTTACGTAGCTCCAAGGCTTTAAAAAGAACATTGCGAGGATGTTTTCAGAAAGACATTTAGAAAGCTTGTTTTATGTATCACTTTTTTGCGCTTCTCTTTTTTATAAGATTTTATTGTGTAGAGTCAACTGCTATAACTGTTAACTTATAAATATGTCATTGAGTGACACTAGCGACAGGCGAATTGTTCCAAGTAAAAGTACCTTAATATTTGATCTACTCGTGTCAGACGCCGTTAGGCATGAAATGTGAAACTTCTAAGGCAGTGACACACATCCGACAGTATCTAGCCGAGTTCATTCCGTCATTTCAATGTCAAGCCTTATCAATTATTAAAATCTACTCGCACATAAAGTGTCAACGTACGGGAAAGACGCGATTTTAATTTCAAGAACGTGCTAATGCTGTTTGCTGAAATGTTTTAGCATTTATATATTTCGATAAAGCAAAAAAACATAAAAAGAAAAAAGGGGAGAAAAGAGAGATCTGTTAATCCTACCTCATTCAAGTGATTTTTTTTTATGTAATTATTCGCACTGTTTCTGACACTTCATCAACGTTATATCAATTTTCGTTATTCTTTTCGATTCATGAATAAAGATTGATAATATTCTATATATATTCTTTAAATAAATCTTTTAAATAAAAATAAACACAAATAATTTTTTAATTGAGAAACAATTTGTACTAAATTTAATAATGGAAAGAATGATTTCGCTAAAATATCTAAAAATTTATATAGTTAGTTACAGATTTAAAAATATTGTTTGGGGCATAAAAATAATTTTATACGACGCTGAAACTAGTTGATAGTACATTAAAACTTTTTGCGATATTTTTATCAACGCTTAAACGGTCTATATTATTATTTTGATGATCCAACAAAATCATTTTCAAATCTGTCTCTATAACTAAATTTTTAAATACTTCAGCAAAAAAACTATTTTTGTCTGTATAAATAGCTTAAATATATTTAGTGAATTTATAAGGTTATAGTTATTATTAATATAAAAATAGGTTACAGTAATTTAATTATAATTTATAGTCATTTTTTGGGACAACTCATAATATAATAAACTATAAATTATAATGTAATTACATTGTAGCAATTTCAATTATTTTATGATAAAATAATTATAAAAAACGATCATTATTTTGGTTGCTAATTATATATATTTGTTAAGAAAATTATACACATATATACTTATTATCTATTATTAAAATTATAGTTATAATCATAATTATATTATTGTAATATAATTATGATTATAACTATAATTATAGTCATAAATATCAAAAACTTTTCTCTCAGTGACAGAGTGTCCTGGACACTCCATGCAAGTAATGAAAGGTTAATGAGACAAGCTTGTCAAGCGGCTCATCTCCTCGACACTTCGGATCTCTGCACCGCGATCCGCGATCTATCAGGTCCGAGCCATGTTCATTCCGCGGATAAGGGCGTAAATCGATTCAGATGGAGATCGCGCTTCATTATCGCGAAAGTTCGCGAGACGTTAACGAGCGATTAACCGCGTCCACGAAAGAATGTAGTAGCGCAATCCATCATTTAAATGAGGGAGCAGCGTAAGCGCGGTATCTTGGCGGCTCGATATGATGGGTGAAAATGTACAGACGTCATTTCCCGTTTTATTCACCTCTATACCCAGGAAGGAGCGGAGGGATGGGATCTGGCAATAACCCGTCAGCGAAACTATGGCGGTCCATTGAATCGCCGCGCGCCAATCGTCGGAATTGCGATACTAGTTTGCGACCCGAGTAAGAAGTATCTCAATCCCAAGCGAAAGCGATGGAATAGCTGCTGAAGCTCCGCGCGGGGTGTTAAATTATACAACTTGGACTCATCTCAATGGCAAGGGAAAATCACCTCCTCGATTACGTCGTTCGTTGATGGACGCGTCCGTTCGCGGAGTCGCGTAATCGGAGTCGATAAGATTCACGTAGAGGGAGAGAACGAGAGAGAATTAAGACCTGTTCCCAGAGTTTATAATTGGGACGAGCACGACAAATTGGGAGGCAAATAGCGAACTTAAGGCGCACTTCGTCTTATTTTCCGCCTTATCTCCTTTCCGATGCCTCCGGCAGATCTCGGCGAAGCTACACCCGGCCGAGAGAAACATGTCGCTCGTAACACGAGAACTCGCGTAAACGCGCGGTATCACTAGGGAACACATTTGCATTCCCGAGAAGTCGCTCCTAGGGTCAAAATGCATTTAAGTTCTTTTGAGTGGAGAACGTCGGGATTGGTGCAACGTACCGAAACAGATGTCTGACTGTCTTCCCTTAACTGGAGTCACGAAGGTAGAGACGAGAAACTTCCGACAGCAACAGTTCGACGAAGCGAATCAAATTCGAGAGTGCTGCGAACATTGCGCGCTACCTGTTTAATCAAATTCCGAGGGAGTTCCTTAGCGAGAGAAAGGAAGAGAGAGAGGAATGTCACCAATCGTGAGGGTAGATTACAGTGGTTGTGCGCCGGCGAAAGTTTCGACGCCGAAACCGCGCGAGAGAGAAAGTTTTCCCGGACGTCCGGTAATAAAAGCTCGGATGTTCGGATGAAGAAGAAACTTCCCCGGAAGTTCCCGGTTCCTTTCCACGTTTTCTCCGGGCACGACATGGCCGAGCGGTGACAAAATTGAATCCTCGTTAAAGCGTCGTCACGTTTCGTCGATCGACATCGACACTTTCATGTCATCCTCGGCAGCCCTTCCTTAATTCCTCTCTTCTCTCCTTTTTGCCAATTTAAATTACATTTCATTACAAACCTTTGTAACTGCGATGGTAGAGCATTTATTTGTTCCACGGAGAAACTTTGCGTTAGGTACGAAACTTTGGATTCGCACTTAAAAAGAAAAAAAAATATATCGGTGGCAACTATGTAGATGACAACTACTATAGAAATTTTATATTTGTGAAATTAATGTACAACAATATATAATAGAAGTACAAGGATAATAGTTCACTATATAGTTAGCTAAGAGTAAACTATTTTATAAAGCTGTAAAACAGTTGCAACTATAAAATAATTTATTTAACCATTATATATAAATTAATAAATAAGCTTAATATATATTACTTTCATTTTTAAGAACAAAATTATATATAATATTAATTATTATATTCACTTCGTACATTAAAATATTAAATAAAAATTCGTACGTGTACAAAGCGAATTTATTCTACTATGCATAGATTAATGGAGCGTATTTAGTTGTGAAAATACTGTTAAAAAGATCCACGATAAGCAAATTATTATAAATATGTGCAAGAAGATATTCTTTTTATTCTGCATCTTCTTGCAAAAATATGTTATCATACAAAAGGCATTAATATCTTTTGTTCCATGCTCGTTTCTTGGCTTTTTAATATTTCACTTTGCCTTTATTAATTCTATATAATATTGTAGAAGAGGTTGATGATAAGCGATAATTTAAAATATAATAAATTATGAACATTTATATCTTTGTGTACAATTTTTGTTGTACGTAAAAATATAGATTATCATAATTTATTCCGAATATATTTACATGATTATATAGCGAACGAAATCTTTTACCTGAGAGGTTTGTCTCACGCGATTATAAATTAAAAATCAAATTAAGCATCTTCAACAATTAAACATTTCTACTCGCATCAAACTCATGGGAAATATTGAAAATCGTCTGTTTTAATTTAAACTCTTCTCTCATAATCGTCTATCACGCACTCTTAAACTCTTTTACTGACTCGGAAATTTTTTATTTGATTTTATACTCTTTCGCGGATGCAATCACGATAGACTGATATGATCAACTATCAACCAATCGTCAAATCTTCGATTGATTTTCTTTATTCTTCTCACTTATATAGAAGTCTGTGATTCTTCTGCTATAACTTGTAGATATTTTCCCTCGAAATATGAGTAAGATTCAGCAGCGTATTTTTGCAAGTAGAGGATACAGAAAAAAAAACATTTTTCAAAGCACGTTTGCAATAATTCGCTTGCCATGGACCTTTTAAAGTATTTTTGCAGTTAAATATAC